CCCCCACCTCAGGCTGCAAGCACCCAATCAGCCCTTGCACCTCGGACACCAGACGTCTTGATCCCCAGCCCAAAAGATTGTCAAGCAAAACCAGCTAAGCAAACACTCCAAGACACCTGTCCCAGCAAAGTGGATCTACATCAGTGTCCTTTTCAGCATTTGCAGCGGCACAAATGAGGTCCGAAACCTGGGTCGTACCGAAAGGTGGCTGTGTTTGGCTGGCTACCGCAGCTCGAACTTGAAAGGTTCCATTCGCTCAGCAAAAATACTGACAGTTAGGAGGAAGAGAGCTGCGATGTACAAGGCTAAAAACCAAGAGGAACAGCAAAACAGTAGCGATTGTGAAGCTCATTTGCAGTCGCGTCACCTCAAAGTGGCCCAGTCATTCGGTATCCACCGCTCTGCCGAATCCCACTATCCAGCTTAGCCTGGCCAACGGGAAGAGGCCTGGCCTAACATAGGCGGGACACCGTCCGTGAATCCCAACGTCTCCTCCCCTTCTCCGTCTCGCGCAGCACGTGAGCGGTCGGTCTTGGGCGCTGACGCTGAAGCCGCTGACGCCTGGCGATGGATGACTGGAAGCTGAGTTGGAGACGTTCTGTTTTTTGCCGCGCTACTTGGAAGTGGATGTATACCCGGGCATCGCTACTGGGAACGCTACGTTCGGGGCTCCTGGCCATACTAGGAGCAAGGACGCTACTGGTAACAAAGGGCATTGCTATTAGGAACAAGAAGCTACTATTTTTATGGCGCCGGGATAAAATAGAAGGTACTACGGATGGTTTGGATGCACTACGGTAGGACCATGGCATGGACTGTTTCGGAATATCACCTCCGGCAGGGAAGAATTTCAGTCCAGGCTGATGTCAAAGGCAAACAACAGGTCAACTGAAAATCGAAAACTGCAGGATGGGGCGGTCCCAGCGCCTTTCGAATCTGTGCTGCATGTGCTTGCTCAAGAGCCTTGCCAAAGTTTGCATCGCCTCCAATAGCAACTCGGTTCTGCACCCATCCATTCAGTCTGTTCAACTTGTCTGAACCCTTGACAGACTCATCCTGCGCCTTGTTTTTGCCGCCTTTCTATGACGTCCAGGATGGAGAAAACAGCTGTGTCAGCCCGCCGATCCTCAATGTGAGAAGTCAAGCAAGCCAAAGGTTGGCAGAAACATCACACCCTGCTTCAGCTGCTTTCACAAAGGGCACCCCCTAACTAATGCTGCCGCGCCACTGCATCTTTGGTACTGCTGGTTGGCTCTTCATTCGATGTGGGCTCTGTCAAATTCTCTAGGCTGGCATCCTCCGCGCACTCACACTTGATCTCATCAAAAGCCTCCTTGAGCTCTTGGATCTCTTTCTGCGTCATGGGGGTGGTGATGCCCTGACGAGGCGAATCATTTGATGCATGAAGCTTGCTGCTGTAGTCTGATTGCTTTCCTTTACAGTGTGATTTAGTGATAGCGACCTTCAACAGCCAGGTGGTTTTCACTGCCATCTGCACGCGGTTGAACCGCAGCGCCAAGCCTGCATTGACGGGGAACATCAACATCAGCGAATTCCTGCAAGAATGAAGCAAGTCCAAGTGAACATTGTTATATGACGAAGAAAACCAGGAAAATAAGTTCGGGAACTGACCAAATTGTTTTCCAAGTAATTGACCAAAACAGAAAAGAAGTTCGGGAAAGACGAAAAGTCGAACAAATGCAAGCACAGTCGGGATACTGGTAATGATATTGATGGCCACAGACATTCCCAGCGGTTTTAGAAAGACATCCTGCAAACAGTTGCAAGGTCTTATTTTAGTTTTCACTGCATGGAGTGATGAACTGTGACTTCACCATAAAGGCATGCTTCTGCCTAATCTCTGGCCGACATAAGCAACTACTTGAAGCATCAGCATGTGCCAGGCCGGACAAAAAAAAACAGATTTTGCGCAAGCTTTGTGCTGGCTTTGGATGGTCCTGGGAAATGCTCCAAGAATTTGACGCGAGCCAGTCATCCGCATCTACCGGCTGCGCATTGGCCAGGAAGAGCAACATGTACAGCAAGCAAAGTGCCTTGTACAGCAAGAGCTGCAAAGAGTTGATCGATTATTTCCGTGATGTTGCGACGACTACGGATGGAAACATAAATGTGGCTTCATGAAGTGTTCTTTCCCATGTCACATAACATGATGCAAGAGGACTACAAGGGAGGAGGCAGCAAAGGAGTGCTGCATACAACGAAAGTACAGTAACGTGAACCACATGTTGGGCACGCTTTGCTTGAAGAAAAACAATCATCACGGCAAGCAATACGCACATTTGCATGGCTCTGTTGAGTCCGCGGAAGGCTCTCTTGATCGAACAAAAAGCTCCAAGAGCCACGCGTGGCGTTGAAATCGTCGGTCTCCATGTCCCAATTGCCGTCGAAGGGCGAGTACACCGCCCAACATCCAAATGTAGTCCTCGATGGCTAGTGACAAAGAAACATGTAATGGAACAATAGACCGAACACCCAACCTTCATTCTAGCACGCTGAGAAAGAAAACAACTCAAACCAACTGCGCAAGGCTTGAATCACCACAAAATTAGGAGCAGACACACCATCAGTAGCCATTCCTGCACCAGACCTATCACGCATGCTGTTCATTCATTTTAAATGAGAAGAGGAGAGACATTCCTTTTGACTTCGCTCACCTTGCTGCTGGTGTAGACCCACAGGTGAGGGAGGTCCATGTGACCACCGCCGAGTTGGCCGTCACCTCAAAAGTACGGAAAACACAGAGCAATGGAAGAAAAAGAGACATCTTCCTTAGCGAATGGGGGTCTGCTAAATGCTGAGATCTAGACGTCGATTTCGTGAAAGTCATTCTGTGGTTGCGGATAGCCATATACATCTGGCCAGGAGAATACAATTATTGCCTCGTATGCGAAGCAATGGAGTTCGATGCGTTGAATCAATTCTGCAGCATCAAACTGCCAATTGTTTCGCCTGGGTCGGTATTTCCACCGGTATAAATCCTTTGATGTGCCCTCAGTGACATGCATCAATATTCTGTCAATCACAGAAAACACCAACAAACCAAGAGAATTTTGCTGCTCGCGAAGACATGACCCTTTTTGCAACTACATAGTGTGTTGCTTCAACTTCAAGCGTGGACATGGTTTTTCCTTAAGTTCGCGACGAGTAGACAGCGCTCAAGAAGGCACGGTTGGAGGGTTAGGACCCGGATGAAGTTTTCTCCTCAGATTCGCCACTCCAGTGATCCAAAACCATGATGTCTCAGGAAGAGGAAAAATGCGAGGAAAACGAAAAGGAAATGAACGTCAAGGCGCTAAAAAAGCATTAAAAAAAAAAAGAACGTCATTTCCCATCTTGGTCACATCTTTGGTCACGTTTTCCCATCTTGTGCACATCAACGCGCTCCCAGTGACCCTCTCTTGCTGCGGCTACCTTTTCGTGGTCCAACGGTGGCAGCGTCCATCGGTGCAGCGGTAAGAGGGTGCATGTCAATGCCCTGTAAGACACTGATGCTTGAAAACTGCTATTGGCTATAGTGGCGCAGGACATAATAAGAAACATGGCACGGTTTGCTGAACACGGACATGGAAATTGGCTCTCAAATCAGAACTCAGTTTGGGCCCACATGAATCTCCACAATGTACACAATCCATATTCATCTTTATCGAAAATGAAAATGAACAACAAGCAAAGCGTCCCGTCAGAGTTGTTCAAAAACGCAAACAAAAAAATCTTCATGAAGGTAAAACGATGCAAAACTGTTGCGATTCAAATCCCTATCTATATATCTGTAACATCTTCTGGCCACAACGGTGTCGAAACGGTCAATGCACTTCACCCCGGAAACTCGCAACCAGCTTGCGTGGCCAAAGCCTATCCAGGTGGAAAGGCGCGTGACGGCAATTGGTGCGATTGGTACCCCAAGGCATCACCTCTCAAGTGGTGGATTTGAACTCATGTGTCACAAGCATATCCAATTCAAACTGGTCTACGCACTGGTGCGTGTAGGCCGCATGCAGTGTGTTCGTTGACGGGATGCGGGTCTGAGTTGTACGAATGGGGAATGCAGCTGTCAGCGGCATGTATTTCTGGTTTTGGCAAGGATGTCTTCCTTTGAGGTCATTGGCCATCCCTGGCCACTTCGAGCACAATGTTCAACTTTGCAAGGATGTTGTTGTGTTCGGACTGGTGTAAAGACCGAGACCGGTGAAACTGGCTAAAACCGGCTGCAGGTGTACTTCGCTCCTGTTCTTTCTCAACATATCACGATCCTATCTTTGGTCTATTTTTGTTTGTCTCTTCGTTCTGTCATCGCACGCTGTGGCAGTCAAAAATTTGTCCCACGATTGGTCCGCACCTACGCAAGAGCCAGCCTATCTCTTGTACTATCGCACAAAGCTGAGATTACCCCCAGATGACAGGCATGTTGGTGGATTTTGTTGGCAGGTTTTGAGCCTTACGCCTGGGTTTGTCTGTCACTCTGTCTTTGTTTTGCACGAGTACGGACGCCATGTGTGCAGTGTGCACAGGTCATCATTCTAGAAGGGGAAACTCTGAAATTGTGGCCAAGAGGCAAACACACACACAAAGAACAAAGCCCAGCCCCAAAACCAAACCCAAAAAAGACCAGCCCCAAAAACCAAAAGGCCTTATCCAGAGTTTCGATCTGTACATGGGGGTGAAAAGAGGGTGAAACATACGTTAGCACAAACCTAATCGGGCCTTGAATTCTCTCATCGTCTCAGGTCATCTGCTGCATGTTCTTGCTGGTTGGCATTGCATTGCAAGCTTGGTACGGACCAGCCTGCCACGAAAGCGCAGGCCCCCAGCGTGTTCAAATGGCTCTCCAACTCCAGCTTGAAAGGTGGAGCCTCTGTTACTGTTGGCTTCTTTGACAAACGGAAGCACTTGAGCTTTTTTAAGTGCAATGCATTCTGGCCTTGGAAAACGATCGGTAGCAGCTCGCAATCATTCCACACACTTGCAATTTCAGCGACGACTGCCTGTGTTGGGAGTGTACGCTGGTAGGGCATTGCACTTTTTTTTGCACGGGTACGGGCGCTATGTGTGCCGAGAGGCACAAGTCACCTTGGATGACTTCGAAGAGTCGGATGAGAGGATACGAGCCAGAACCAAAGAGGCCAACCCACCAAGGCCCAACCACCAAAACAAACAAGCACACCCAAACAGCCCCCCAAAGGAAACCGAAACGGAGCTGGCTCATATC